AGGATCATGTGACACTAAAGACTGGAGTAATGATGCTAAAAAATGTTGCTTGGCATTACAGGAATAAATTATATTTGAAAATATATTAAATTAGACTACAACCTATTCCAAACTTTTGAACAGTAGTGAACGTATGGTTATTCCTACATACACGAGTCACGTGATTATGTGATTAGTCATAATGGTTTCATTTGAAGTTGCACATGAAGCTCAACATGCAAAACACTCATATTTTAGAAGCAATATGAATGGACAGATCAAAACACCTTGACGTTTACAGAGTACACAACAAATGAAACCTCGGAGGGCTCGAAGGACTCAACCAGAGCATAACAGCCATTTTTCATATTGGACAGATGTTGCCTCACCTCCTCCCGGAGCTCGTACTGCTCGATGAGCTTCTTGAGTTTCTCAGCCAGCTCCATGTTCTCCTGCCGCAGCTTGCTGTTGTGCGAGTTGTGCTGCTCCATCTGGGCCTCAATCTCATTGAGTGTCATCTGGAAGTGCAGCGTGGCCTCCTTGCGCCGCTCCTCATACTCTCTGAACCTCTGAGCATTCTCCTCCTGCCATCACAATGTTTATCTGGTTAAACAAAGGCCAATACGAAGCTTCAAATCAAATCCAGGATGTGCGTGAGCTCTGGTGGCTGTACCTTCAGGGTCTTGTTATGGCGCTGAAGTTCCCTGCAAAGGCTCTCCAGTTTGCTGCGTGCCAGGACGGCCTTGCTGTGCTCGCTCTGCAGGTGGATCTTCTCTTTCAGCACCTGATTCTGCTTTTTCTGCAACACCTTCACCTGCTTTTGCATGCTGCGACTCTCCTCCAACTGTCCCAGGAGGAATGGCACATTAGTAGTTAGTGATGCACTGAAATTTCAGCAACTGAAATCATTTGGCCAAAATAATAATAATAAATAAATAAAATTAAAAAAAGGTGACAGTGACATTTAATTATATCTGATGACACTTTTTTGACTGTCATCAATGTGGACAAGCTACAAAAGGTAAACATCAGCAATGCGGAGCAAAAATGATGCTAGAATAGAAATATGTAAAATAAATTTTGACTGAAATATTGAGAGGCAGTTTGAAGAACTTTTCTGACGTCAACACTGATAAATAACTTATATGAAATAATTAAAATATTTATTCCAGCATACATCGATTGGCTGCCTATATTGTTCATTGAAAAATTATGCAGCAGATTAATTCTGATCTGAATCATAAGGCAAATCAAACCCCAAAAGAGTGAGCCTCATATTCATCAGTTTCCTTGGGTTAAGAGTTTAAAAGGACTATTTATGAAGTACTGTACATCATAGCTCAGATAAAAAAAAATTAAGAAATCCTCTTGTCATTAACAGGTAATCATGTCAGCAACATGGACCAAAAATTATGCTAGAATAGAAATTTGTTTGACTGAAATATTGAGAGGAACTTTACCACAATATTATACATAGTTACATTTCCCAGTTACCCAAAATTCTAACTTTCGGTTTTCGGCTACATCAAAACTTTAATCTTGTTTTTCATTAAAAAAATTAAATAAAATCATTATTAGTTTTTCATACTACATTAGCTGTATAATACATTGTATGGAAAAAGAGTAGTGTTTTATACAAGAAAATAAATCATACAATTTTGGACTGCAAATGTTTTTTGTGAACTTTTCTGTAAGGACATTAAGTATAATATTCATTGTTGTGCAATATCCTTTCTCTAGCACCGAATACATACCAGGTCTGCATATTTCTTACAAAGGGCAGCGAGTTTTTCTTCTGGGGTGGCTAAGGTATGAAGCGCCTGCATCAGCAACAACACCTCTTTGCCTATGGCAACAAAAGAAGAATTATGCTTAGAATAACCTGTTGTTGACAAATGAGTTATCCTATCACAAAAAAAAAAAAAACACATTTCTTCTAAAACAAAAAGGTCTACCGATTAAAAGAATGGTTCACCCAAAAATGAAAATATTTGAAGAATGTGGGTAACCAAACAGTTGTTGGTCCCCACTGACTTCCATAGGATGAAAAAAAAAATACTATGAAAGTCAATGGGGACCAGAAAATGTTTGGTTGCCCACATTCTTCAAAATATCTTCTTTTGTATTCAGCAGAAAAAAGAAACTCATACAGGTTTGGAACAACTTGAGGCCGAGTAAATGACGACAGAATTTTCATTTTTGGGTATATTAGAAACATTCCTTGAATGGCGAACACTAACCAAATGCATTATGGTCCTTGGTTTTCTCAGCGTTAGGGTCCAACTCCCCATCGAGGGGGTCAGGGTTACTATCCTCCCTTCCAGGCGTCTCCCCTCTCTCCTCCTCACTGCTCACCAGCCCGTTATCCTGGGATGGGGTCTCCACATCCGGAGGTGAACTGCTCCCTTCAACGAGTCCTCTGGCTTCTAGACCACAGACCCCAATGATTTCCTCCATGACTTCAGCGCGCTGATGGTGTAAACAAAAAATGTGTAAGGAGATGAGTTTAAATGAACCGAGCTGAGATTGTGTAGTTTTGACAACAACCTTAGTCGCCGACTCACTGCATATAAGTGACATATATTACATCCAATACAAAGATGCCTGCACTAGTTCTGGATATTTACTTTAAACACAACCAAGTGCAAAACAAACTCCCTATTCAGGAAGAGAGAGATGAGCACGTGCTGCAGACCGAGCAGCCACACGCCAAACAGAGGCTGTGTCTCAAATCCCAGTGAGCTCCCTACCTAGGCAGCATTTTTTTGCACCACACACGTTTAAAATGCACGACGTTCACTAGGTTTAGAGCCACAGCCAGAGAGTTCCTTTAAAACCAGCACAAGCTAAATAAGTGAGAGGGAACGGCGGGTTTAAGACATGAACAAATGAGACATTTATTCAAAGCACGTGTCAACTAATAATGCGTCAACACTGACAAATTACAGTATACACTACAAACTTATGAATATGAAAACATTAAAATACTTATTCAAGCATACTTAGTTTTCCTGACATACATTAGACGCATATAACAATCCTTCTTTATGTTTATTCATATGGCAACTCAAACCCCCAATGAGCCTCATCAGTTTCCCCGGTTTAAAAGTTAACAATATTAAGACCAAAAACCATCTCGCCGTGAAATCTGTAACTTACAGTGATAAAGCTGTAACCCTCAGGCTAACTCGCTAACTCACATTCACCCTGTTCAACACAAGTTGGTTAGCGGGCTAAAGCTAACGTTACTTCCTTCGTAAATCACACGCATTTATGGCGACAGGTTCCCTTCGCGTGTGTTCAGCAAGCCTTTCGTGGGGTTAGATGTGTTAATGGTGGTATGTTTAAAACAAATGTTCAGCAGTGAGCAGGTTGAGGTACAGTAACGTTACCTGTGTGGTTTCGGTGTTTTTGTGCCTGGCATCCGAGCGCGTCGCCATGTTGTGACGAAACACTAGAGGCAAGACTGGATGAGCAGAAATGAACCACATTTAAGCATTTATTTATTTATGCTATTAATTTATTTGTCATTTCGACATGCTTTAGGATTAAATCGCACATCTGGGCGCCTCAGGTAAATCGTTCCATTATGTAAAGGCTATATATTGGCTAATAAATAAACAAATAAATGCAAAATACAAAAATAGCATATTAGACCGAGCTTTTTATAGTGAAATCATATTTTGTGTTTGAATTGCATAGTTCAGTTTAAATGCTCAGGTCCTGTTTCTGGCCTGTCACTGTAGTCTTCCCACAGTCCTCTGTGTTGCAGTTTAGGAGCTGACAGACAGACAGACACCTCCTTCCTGTGAAGCTCTTATGGGGACACTGGACACTTCAGAGCCTGAGAGCTTTCAGGAAGAGAGCCGTGATCCACTACTCAGAGCTGAATACAGGCAAGTCTGCCAAATGCTGGAAATGGTATTAATTTGGTTTGATCTGGGCAGCAGACTTTAAAGGGGCACTGGTGAGGATGAATCCTTCTTTGCTTTCAAGGAAAATTATTTCGTCCTGAATTTATATGCTGCAGTAGATTAGGGTGACCATACGTGCCATTTCCCCAGGACGCGTCCTGGCCAGGATTTCTATATTGCCTAAAATATCTAGGTTTTGGCTTTGTTTGCGTGTGCAGATCGATCTGTGTTTGACATCAAAATACCTCGAGAGCATTTTGAAAGCATAAGGAACCGTCTGTATGGTACTTTGATGTCATACACCGATCGGTCTGCACACCCTACAGGTCACCCTACAGATGCCTCTGCCTTACAGTGGGAAGGAGGAAGCAACACTTCATATTTCCTGGCAACGTTTATGGTGGGAGTGTAGACCTGGGGCCTGTACCATGAAGCCGGATTAACTGGCTAGCCAGGTAAGTTTCAGTTTAGTTTGCACCAATCCTGGGTTTTAGGTACCACGAAAGTGGCTTGGCTTTTTGTGGCGTTCATTTCCATAGTAATTTACACCCACAGCTAACCTGCTTGAGGTCAGGTTATGTTCTGAGTAAGAGATCTCAAACTGAAATTGGACCAATCAGATGTGAGCAAAGTGACACATGTGTGACGCAGAAAAGTCACTCCCCCAGTTTCTCTTCCTCCAAATTAAAGGTCACTATATAGTAAAAACAAACAAACAAAACAAAAAAATCGTCTGGCTTAAATGATAATTACTTAGAAAATGCAATTTGAATGGAATATTATTGTTATTAAAATTATTATTTGTTAATAATTCTAATAATGTTTCACCAGACAAAGTGAATTTTCCCGTTTTTATTTTACTACTAGACCTTTTTTTTTTTTTTAGAAGTCATATTTTTATGGCCATATGTTTCAGACTCCTTTATATAACTTCATAATATCAGTTTCTTCATTTTCATTTACATCTTTTAATATGAAATTAGATTATCGCATTTATGCAACTTGACCTATTGTGGTTACTGGCTGCACTTCACCAGCACGGCCTGCAGGCGGCAGCATCATCCTTAGATCCGCCCGAGTCTACCTGTAAAACGGAAAAGAAGAAGAAGAAGAAGAAAAACAAATGGCGCGCTGCTGGAGTTGTAGGAGTTGTCACTTTGTTTAGATGTCACTTGAGTGCATTTCATGTTGTTGTCTATGGTTCCACCGAAGCACAGCCGATCAGAATGAGCTATTTCTTCGAGCTTTGTTAAGGGATTGAGGTTAGAGTTAAGAGTGGGTGCATTTTATAGTGCTTTGGTGCAGCTCTTTACATGTGATCAGTGTGTTTTGGGGGGAAATGCCTCTTATTAAGCTCAGAGGAGTCACTGTGGACTTTCCCTTCACTCCATACCCGTGCCAGGAGGACTACATGCGCAAAGTCATCGAGTGCCTGCAGAATGTAAGAACATACAAGTTAAAAAAGTTTAACCCCTGTGCGTCAGTTTAAAAAGCTACAGAGGTCCTTAGTGGACAAAAACGGTCATAAAAATATTATATTAATATTTTTTTCCACTTTCACTGACACCAACATCAGTCTTGATCATAACTACCAAAAATGCATTCATTTGCAGTATTTTGACCGTGTGCCAGTTTGTTTACATAATGCCACTGTTGTCTATTAAATGCTAAGCAGATTTTCTTTTGGATTATTAAAGTTGTGTATGTCAATGATTAGCGACAATATTTATTTTAATGCATTATTATTATTTTTTTGCAGTGTCAGATTAAAAAAAAGAAGAAAAAATCCCCAACCATTCTCACACATATTTCTCAGTAGACACGTACAAACCACACTCTGATATCGATACCAGTACATTTATACAATTATAATTACACAAATTCAATTTAGTTTTTAGTTTTTGTTAATGTTGTTTTTTCCAGCAGAAGCAGAAAACAGGAAAAAAGCGAGTATTTTCTTTATAGGCCTGAGAACCTGAGAAAATGGTTTCATCAGGTGGAGAATAGTAAAAAAAAAAAGTAAATATATTGTTGCCTTACCAAAAGTTTGAAAGCCTATTAACAAAGAATGCATAATTTTATGCTTCAATGGCACTGGGATTAAATATTGCTGTTTCAATGGGGACATTTTTGTCTTTAAGGTCCTGAGTGTAACTAAGTGTAAAATATATTTACAAGGAAACGAGGGTGAAATTTTAGTATTCCAATAAATACACATTTTTAAAGCAGCACTATGTAACTTTTTCTGTGTTCAAAATTTGCAAAATGTATATAATGAGCGAGTATGGTGCGGAGCTGTTCCCCGACAGACCGATGTCATCATGGGGAACAGCAGCCACCGACGGAGACACTCCAAGTATTGTCCTTACACTGATATGACCTACAAACTACATTACAGTGATAGTTCACATGCTGGACAACGTTAGGAGTTATACTTAAAAAGTGTCATAATCGTGAGTTTTGTCTTTTCTTTCTTTCTTTTTCTTTTTTAGCTTATTACACGGACATCCCTAAGATCATATATGCATCCAGGACCCATTCGCAGCTAACACAAGTCATTAATGAGCTGAAGAACACATCATACAGGTCAGCCATCTGAGTTAACATCACATATTCAAGGGATATTTTACAGTCAGCCATTCATGATCTTATTAAGAATATGAAAAATTTACATACTGATAAAAGTTTTTTTTTCAGCATTAGTTTTAATAAAAAAATTCACTAAGAACAGTAATATTGTGAAATAGTATTACAAATTAAAACAACTGCTTTTTGTCAACATATATTTTAAAATGTCATTTATTTCTGTGATGCAAAGCTGAATGTTCAGCATCATTACACATGATTCATTCTAATTCTTTCAAAAAAAAATAGAAATCTTTTGTAGCATTATAAATATCCTGACTGTCTTTTTTAAAATAAATCAATTTAATACATCCTTGCTGATTAAAATTGATTTCTTTTACTTTTTTGTAAGTACAATACTTAACAGTATTGTACATTATAACAGATCATTTATAACAGTAATTGTATTGTTCTTTATTGTAGGCCAAAGATTTGTGTTTTAGGGTCTAGAGAACAGCTCTGCATAAACCAGGAAGTGATGCGTCATGAAAGTAACCACATTAAGGTATGATCCACAGTTATTTTAGTATAACTGAGATACTGTTATATTTATATATGCACATATACTTTTTATTCAGTTATCATTTTTATTCAGTTTTAGTTAAGTACATCAAGTTATGCTAAATTAAAGGACAACATTCACCCAAAAATTAAAATTCTGTCATTAATAATTACTCTCATGTCGTTCCAAACACGTAAGACCTTCGTTCATCTTCGGAACACAAATTAAGATCTTTTTGATGAAATCCGAGAGCTTTCTGACCCTGCTGAAATGTTCCCGGGCCCAGAAACGTAGTAAGGACAATGTTAGATTGTTAAAATGTTAAAATAGTCCATGTGACATCAGTGGTTCAACTGTAATTTTATGAAGCTACGAGAAAACAAAAATAATGACTTTATTCTCTTCCGTGTCAGTCTCCTCTGCCATTCATGAGAGTACCATGATGCATAAAATGAGAAATGTTGCCTTGGCAATTAGCTGACATAGTTTTTTTTTTTTTGGTTTTATGGTTTTAGTTAACTATAATAACCCTGGTATGATCAGTAACTCACTGTGAGTATGTGTGAGAACAGACACTTAAATGTCAGAGCTGTATCGCAGCACCATATTAATGAAGGCATTATGTCTTGTTTCAAGGTTCACATGTGCAGAGCAAAAGTGTCGTCCCGCTCTTGTCTCTTTTACAACAATGTTGATGGTATGAGACTCACCTTGGTGACATATCAATAGAGTTTTGTGATTTTTGTTAGTTATAATGGTTTTGTTTTCTTATAAACAGAAATTGTTGACTGTTTCTTTTTGATTTTTTGTTATTTTTAGAGAAAAGCACTGACAAAGAAATCATGAATTCTATCCTGGATGTGGAGGATCTTGTAAAAACTGGCAAAAAGCAAAGGTGAGACACTGCATGCTGTTTCATGGCCTTCACCACAGCACTGAAAGAATTAGTGGCGTTTAAAACTATTTTTAAATCTGCTGATGTTTCCAATGTGAGTCTTTTGGTTTTGATCAGATTGTTTGTTCCCGTAGAGTTTGTCCATACTACCTGTCACGCACACTTAAACAACACGCTGACGTCATCTTCATGCCATACAACTACCTGCTTGACCCGAAGGTGAGGCATTTATCCTGACGATATCAATACACTACTATTAAAAAAAAATCAGGATTTTTGTTTTATATTTTTGAAAGAAGTCTCCTATAACCAAGACTGCATTTATTTGATTGAATTATTCTGTTTTTATTTGATGTGTATTCTTCTGGGATAGACATGTTTGATTTTATTCTAAATTCAGATTTTTGCTGATTCACAGAGTCGAAGAGCACACAACATAGAGCTTAAAGGAGCTGTGGTTATTTTTGATGAGGCTCATAATGTTGTAAGTATCTTGATGTCGTTTGAGACCTCATAATCATTCAGCAAATTAAATTATGCAGTTCTTGTGTTTTATGTATTGATGATCTGCTGTTTGTCTACATTTTCAGGAGAAGATGTGTGAAGAGTCCACCTCATTTGACCTCACCCCTTACGACCTGATTTCTGCCATTGAGGCCGCGGATCGACTGCTGCGGGAACAAGCCTCAGACATCAGCAAAGCAGATTCTACTGAAGATTTTAATGTTGAATCGCTGAACTCTGGTTAGTTTACATTTGTCAAGATTTTTTTTAACATATTTAAGATATTTATTAATATTTAATACATTTATTTAATACTTAAAATATTGTTTTATATATATATATATATATATATACACACACACAGCAATAATTAACTCCTTTATTTTTATCCTATATATTATTTTGCAGGATTGAAACTGGATATTACCACAATTGCAAAAATAAAACGTATGTTGCACTTTAAAAGTTAATATTGTAATACCGTATTGGATTTATGGAGTTTTTTGGAATATTTTGCTCAAAGCACAACTTAATAATCTTACAGAAATTTTGATGGATCTGGAATCATCCATTAATGGTTTTGAGATGCCCGGAAATAATCAAGGAATCACCAAACCCGGCAGGTATATTGATCTATTGACTGTAAAAATATAATTTTAGATGCACAACAGCTAAAATGCCATCTCTTCCCCTCTTAAAGCTTCATATATGAGCTTTTCCAAACAGCTCATGTGAACTTTGATACCAAAACAGCTGTGGTGGAAGCCATGGAGCAGATCACAGGATATTTAGCAGGGAGTGAGTGTTTATAAAATGGTCTTATATTGAATATAATTGACTTTTCCTGTTTATTAGTGCAACATTGATGCACATGTGTCATTTTTTGCAGGACCTGGTGTCTTTCTGAACACTAGTGGACTACAGAAAGTGGCAGATATAATTCAGGTCAGGAGCGTGTTAAAGTGATCAGTTGGCCATTTTCTGTATTTTTTCTATATTTATTATGTTTGTCTCTTTATTCTGATTCAGTTGGTGTTTGGGGCTGAACCTACAGAGGGCAGCAAGAAATCACAGACGGGAAACAGCATGAAGGAGTTTAAGGTTAATTTTCATATTAATGCCGTCTTCATCAGTACATGAAGTTGTCTGAGGACATCAGGTTTTAGGTTTTCTCCAAAAAGGTACATTTATAGCTCTAATTATTTTAAGAGTGGAAATATTGCTATTTTTTTAAAACTAAGGCCAAGCTTTTGAGCGGTATAGTGTATGTCAGTAGATAGTTCCTCTATTCCTTGTCTTTCACCTCCACTCTCTGCTTCTGATTCCTGAATCTGTCTCATATCAGGTCCACATTCATCCAGACACCAGCAACTTCAAGAAGAAACAGATGACTGATGTTTGGGCTTCTTCCTCTACCAAGAAACAAGGTATGAGACTCTAATTCAGTCTCTGAGATTCCTCATGTGTTTCAAAGAGAAGGTACTCTTGACTGAAGCACATATTCTGGAAAACCAGGAGTTTTTATGCAGTCATGGACAATCTGAGAGCTATTATTGCTTCAGTATTAAAAGTGTTGGTTGCCTTGGTGCACGTGCATGCAACTTTCACAAAGAAATTCCGAAACAAGTGAATTTGCACGTTAATCTTGTATGCCAGAGCTATAAAAGATTGAAAGTGTGTGTGTTTATATTTTATAGGGAATGTGCTGAGTTACTGGTGTTTTTCCCCGGGGTTCAGCATGCAGGAGTTGCTCAGACAGGAAGTACGCAGCATCATTCTGACCAGTGGAACTCTCTCGCCGCTCTCGTCCTTTACCTGTGAAATGCAAATGTTAGTGCTCTTCTCCTCTAGCTGTCCCCTCTGAGTTTTATGAGTTGATGCGGGTTGGATGCTAATTCTCTGCTGATTTTTCTGCAGTCCTTTCCCTGTATCCTTGGAGAATCCTCACGTCATCCAGCGGGATCAGATCTTTGTCAGTATCATTGAAAAAGGTCCGGACGGTGTGCAGTTGAGCACTGCCTTTGACAGGAGGTGAGGGTTTTATTAAAGGCTGTTCAGTCACATCAACATCCTCTACTTAAAGGGACAAACTGCCATTCAAAAGTTTGGGGTCAGTAATTTAATACTTATATTTAGCAAGGTCAGATTAAATTGATCAAAAGTGGGCAGTAAAGACATTTATAGTTACTAAAGATATCTATTACAAATAAATTTTGTTCTTTTGAACTTTCTGTTCTACACAACTGTTTTCAACATTGATAATAGTAAGAATGTTTCTTGAGCAGTAAATCGGCATATCAGAATGATTTCTGAATGATCATGTGACACTGAAGACTGGAGTAATGATGCTGAAAATTCAGATTTACCAACACTAGAACAAATTACATTTAAAAAAATTGTAATATGACAGTTTTTACTATATCGTAAGAGACTTCCAAAAACATGTAAAAAATCTTAGACCCCAAACCAGGGTTATTGTAGTAAACTAAAATTGAAAGTAAAATTAAAACCATAAAAAAATATTATTTTAATTTAGTTTAACATGATGTACTGAACTGAAATATATATATATAAAAAAAAAAAATGCAGTTCGTCACTTCCACCAAAACGGCTCAACGATTTTTTTGACGTCACATCGTACTTCAGCTTCTCATCAAGAAATAAAATAATAATGTAAAAATCAGCTTAAACTTATTTTAATTTAGCTAGTTGCCTGGGGAAACTATCTTATTTTCATTTAGTTTAGCTAGATGTACGAAAATAACTAAAACTGAAATAAAAATATTGAAAGTATATAGACATAAAAAAACTAATAAAAATGACAAACAATTACTAAAACTAACAAAAAAGTTAAAAACTGAAAATGTAAACTAAGAATAGTAGTAATAATAGAAAATAAAATCTATACAAATATGTCTCTGATACTAAAATAACACTGCTATAAAAGCATCTTAAAAGTATTTCATCTGACTTGTTTGCTACAAGTATATTCCAAGTCTTCTGAAGCCTTGGTGATAAGTTTGTGTGAAACGGTTCAGTTTAGTATGTGAACATGGCTCTTTGGTTTTTGAAGGTTTGTTCCTGAAAACATGTCGTCCATGGGAAACACTCTGGGTGAGAGTTCCTTACACAAAACTGCAGCTGATCTGATCACTTATCAATAATCTGATGATCAGCATGATTACCAGTGTAATGATTATTATTGGCTTTTCAGTCAATCTGGTGCGGGTGGTGCCTCATGGACTGCTGGTGTTCTTCCCCTCGTATCCAGTGATGGACAAGACTCTGGAGTTCTGGAGGGTGAGCGGGTATTTAAAGCTGCAGTAGCTTATGCAAAATAGATAAGCTATAAAATACAACTTGTCAATTCAAATGAGTCCATGAATTCACGTGATAAGCTGTTAGTTTGATTAGAAAAAAAAAAATTAGGCAGATTTGTAAACTGGTTCTGCTGATTGTTTGAAGGGAGTCAGACAGCATGTTGCTCACACTTGCTAAGTTCAGGGTTTCTGCAGGTCTTAAAAAGTAAAGCAAGGCCTAAAAAGGTAAGAAAGTCTTAAAAGTGCTGTATGTGATTTTTTTGACTGTACCAAAGCATAAAAAGATCATAATATGTTTGCAGACATTTGGAAAACATGCTAAGTTTATAAACTTGTTTCTCCGACGCTAAAGCCAGTTATTCTACTTTGAAAATGTGCATTCTGTGTCATAAAGTCTGTTTTTGTTTTGGTGTGTGTGACTCCGCCCACTGCCAGTTTAACCAATACTATTTCGACACACCAGGTTGCCAGAGAGCAGAAAACAGCGTATCACAGCCATGGAAGCCAGCGAACGAACTGAGTCAGAGATTGCGACCTAAAAGCCTCGCCATCAATCTAAAAAGCATATTAAAACGAGGATAAATCAATTCATCAACCTACAGTGTAATGCTCGTCGCCTTCCATTGTCAGTTGCACTCATTCCCGATGCGTGTCCTCAATCTGGCAACCCGCTGGAGCCTGTGTCTGTGGAGGAGGGGCGGGAGAAACAATATTTTGAATTTGTACTGCAGTAACCATTTCAACCACTAGCTGTCAATATTGCATACTGCACCTTTAAATTCATGAAGTAATGGAATTAAATGTGTACATTGAAAAAAAAAAAAAGAATATCTTCTTCAGTTATGTCTTGTTTTCCAATACAGATATCCTTAAATCAAGATACATTTACTTGAGATGAATGCAGCTATATGAAGTCTTGTTTTCTGAGAAATTGAACAAAATGAAGTGAATTTGTTTAAAACAACTAATATGTGTTAATGGGGAATATGAACTTGAATTAAGTCGATTTTTTTTTTCTGAGCCCACTGGCAGATATTTGTTCTCGTTTTAATCATAAACCCAAATAATTTCACTTAAAACATATTCCATATTCTTGCGGTTGGGACCAGAGCTTTTCAAGCCATAAGCTTTTTTTTTTTTTTTTTGTACAATGAATTAAAAAGTAATGAAGATCTGTTGACAGCTGTATTTTCAAATTTTGAAGCATTTTTAACACAAGACATTTACATTTAGAGACCAAATTGACGTACTGTGTTCAATTCAATTTATTCCTTAAATTTTCTTTATTTGGTTTAAAATATATAAATAAATGAAAAACTATTTTACAGGAGCTTTTGTCCCCAAGTTTCTTTTTTTAAGTGTAAAATTGATGTAGATTTCATGATTACCTTGTTTTTCGTTGACCAAGTGTAGCGTTAAGTTCTTATTCAAAACTCCCTTCACTCTCTCAGGCTAATGGACATGCCGATCGCATTGAGCATGTGAAGCCCATGTTTGTAGAACCGAGGGGTAAAAGCACTTTTACAGAGGTAACCGCTATTGCTATCAGTCATGTAATAAATGTTCACTCAGCATGAGTTGTTGATATAGATGCTATCATTATGCGAATACAGCTTGATCTGCACAAGCTGTCAGTCAGTGCTGCTCTGAAACTGGATTCTTTTGCAGGTGATTGATGGTTATTATGACAAGGTGAACGACCCAAACTCCAGCGGAGGCAGCTTCTTCGCCGTATGTAGAGGAAAGGTGAGACTATAAATATTTGATGCAATAAAAAATACTTTATTGTGAACCAACACCAGTAATATCAACACATTTCTTTTTGTTTTCCAAGGCAAGTGAGGGGTTAGATTTTGCTGACACGTACGGTCGAGGGGTTGTGATCACTGGACTTCCCTTCCCCCCCAGGATGGACCCCAGAGTGGTGCTTAAAATGCAGTATCTGGACGAGATGTGCAGGAAAAAAATTAGTGGAGTCAAGGTACCTGCTCTTCAAGATATAATATTAAGATTGTCAATTTAACATGTTTACTTATTACAATTTTAATACATGTAAAAATCAATTAGTACAATTTTTATTTTATACATTTTTTTTAAATGAATACTAAAGTAATTTTAAATGTAAAAAGTAATTAAATCTTAAAAGTAAATGCTGTTCTTTTGAACTTTCGATTCATCAAAGTCCTGAAAATGTATAGAAAATGCTTCTAGAGAATATTATCATTGCTAGCATTGATAATAAGAAGAAATGTTACTGAGCAGTAAATCAGCATATTAGAATGATTTCTGAAGGATCATGTGACACTGAAGACTGGAGTAATGATGCTGAAAATTCAGCTTTACATCACAGGAATAAATTACTTTTTTAAATATTACAATATCATATTCTAGTAAGGGATCCACACTCGCTTAATCTTCTTAATCACTTTCAGTTTCTTTTATTTTGCAACAGAGCAAACAACAATCAGACGTTTCGGCAGCAAGCCTTCTTCAGTGAATCAGTGAATTTAATTTTTTCAAAAATATTACAATAGAAAACAAATAGTAATAATATTTCACAATGTTACTATTTTTACTGTATTTTTGATAAAATAAATACAGCCTCAATGCAGCAGAGACTTTTTTTTTTTTTTACATTCTTAAACAAAAAACTATTCACCCCAAACTATATATGAAAAATATGACTTAATTATTAGTTATCTATTAATGTATTCAGAAATACACTAAAAATGCAATGCATACATGTCATGTAAATGAATGCATCTCTTATATGGTCTGTGTGGTTGTTTAGTATCTCTCTGGGCAGGAGTGGTACAGACAGCAGGCCTCTCGAGCTGTCAATCAAGCCATTGGCAGAGTGATCCGTCACAGAGAAGACTACGGAGCCATCTTCCTCTGTGATCACAGGTCAGCGCTAATTACTACAACAATAATTCCTAAATTGACTGGAGAGCAAGTACGCAGATATTAATGCTCTGGGTTTGTGATTCAGGTTCAAAGGCACCGAAGCCCGTATTCAGCTTCCTTTATGGGTGAGGCCATACGTTAAGATTTACGATAGCTTCGGTACCATGGTCCGTGATGTGGCTCATTTCTTTCGGACGGTGCAAAAAACTGTAAGTCCATTTCATGTTTATGTTTTCCTGTACCATGGACTTGTTTTTACACTAAAAAGAGCTGATGTGCACATTTATTGGTTGATTTGTGTATCAGAGACCAGCTCCTGTTAGGAAAAGAAAACAGGCCTGTAAAAGTCAGGCAGACACCGGGCCGCTTAACACAGGCTCCAGCTGTCCTGCTAAGAGTGTCTGGCTCAGTGACACCTCTCAAAAAGCCAAAACACTGGACTCGCACGTCCCCAGCCTAAAGAGGAGAAGATTAGGTGAGCTCACCTCTATTGCTCTTTTTTTTTTTTATGGCCTTTTCAGTGAGGTCTGAGGCTCTTGGATGAATGTGTTCATTTGGACATATGTCTTGGAGGTTTATGCCACCAACTCTTATGAATGTCCTTCTTGAATCTGTTCAGTTTTTTTTTCCAACAGTAATCAATATAAAAGTCAAGTAATTAAGCAATAAATTATAAGTTAGTCTCATTCTGAGACTGTGATTTATAAAACAGCCCAGTTAGATCTATTAAACATTAACATGAGATTATTTTTATTTTATTATTATTTTTTATCTAATTTTGTTGTCAGTTACAGTACTTGTCATAAGTTTGGAAACAATATGATTTTTAAATGTTTTTGAAAGAAGTCTCTTTTGCTCACTAAGGTTGCATTTATGTGCTCAAAATACAGTAAAAACACAAATATTGTGAAGTATTATTACAAAAAATAAATGAAAATAAAATAACTGTTTTCTGTTGTAACATTTTAAAATGTAATTTATTCCTGTGATGACAAAGCTGAATTTTCTGCATCATTACTCCAGTCTTCAGTGTCACATGATCCTTCAGAAATCATTCTAATATGCTGATTTGCTGCTCAAGAAACATTTATCATTATTATCAATGTTGAAAACAGTTGTGCTGCTTCTCATTTATGTAGAAGCCATGATATACTACCATTCAAATGTTTTGAGTGTTTAATAGAAATTAATGCTTTTATTTTGCAAATATACATTAAATTGATCAAATGTGACAGTAAAAAACATTTATAATACAAAAGATTTTATTTAAAATAAATGCTGTTTTTTTTAACTTAATACTCGTCAAGGAATCCTGAAAAAATTATTCCACATAATATTAAGCAGCAAAAACATTTTTAACATTGATGATAATAAGAACCATTATTAATAACTGAGTACTAATAATAATTGAGCATTAAATCAGCATATGAGAATGATTTCTGAAGGATCATGTGAGTAATGATGCTGAAAATTCAGCTTTGCCTCACAGGAATAAATAACATTTTAGAATAAATTCAAATCGAAAATAGTTATTTCAAATTGTAATAATATTTCACAATATTACAGTTTTTACTGTATTTTGTTCAAATAATTGCAGCTTTGGTGAGCATAAGAGACTTCATTAAAAATATTTTAAGAATCATTGTTTCCATACTTTTGTACGTTCAATGATCGTGATGTTTTAGAGTCAGAAGAGCATTCTGGACGGGATGGAGCGGCCAGACTTTGCATTCAGTATGAGATGGAGATGACAAGTAAAAGGAAACCAGTCAGCCTGCTGGACGCCCTGGATGACACAAAGTCAACTTAAAGATTCACTTTTATCCAAGAAAATTATACTTTTATTTATGTGAGTGTGTGTGTGTGTGTGTGTAATGTATAATATTAGAAGTGGATCAAAACCTTTAAACCTAAAACCAAAATGCGTTCTTGTCTTAGGACAACTTTGATGAGGTTTTGATCCACTTCAGATGTTGACTACTGTGTGTGTGTGTGTGTGTGTGTGTGTGTGTGTGTATATATATATATATATATATATATGTATGT